TCATTTTTCTCTCTTCTATTTTCAACCACACAATCTTCCATAAAATAATATTATACATAAATCGAAAAAAATTTCTTCATTTTTCAGCCACTCATTTTTCAAAAAAATATTATTTCACCCATTACATTTTCCACGTAATGGGGGCCAAATCGGGGCTAAATATGGAATCCTTCCATTTTATTGAGAATATTGGTATTTTTTCCCTTTCTAAAATATACCAAAAATAAAACAAATCAATGAATAAGAGATTAAAAATGGACAATTAATTATGACCATGTTCTATTGAATATTTAAAGTAGTCAAGTATGGCATGAAAACATTTCTTTCCTACTACCTCACATTTGAGATTGATTAATGGCTTTCCTTATTACTTTGTTGATGATTGAAGGGAGATGAAGAAGAAGAAGAAGCTATTTCAAGTCCTACATGTGTGTGCGTATTTTGTACAGATTCCACCCTTTTTTTAATCAAAAATTTATATTATACAATATAATTTTCACTTATTCAATGTTAGCAATAAAGAAAAATAAATAATCACATCACACCATTAATTGCATTCAAATCAAATATTCATTGCTCCTAAAAAGGTGTCAAAGGGTAAGATGGACATTTTGTGAAGAAAAAGTGACATTTTTGGAAAAATTTGGAGCAAAACAAATTTTTTTGTGCATTTTCAAATTTATCCCCTGTTTGAGCCCCATTATTTGGAGATTATAATGTTTTGAATAGTATTTTCTTGAAAAATGAGTAGTTGAAAAGAAAAAAAAAAGTTTTTAGTTTACGTGTAATAATATTTTATTAAAGATTGTGTGATTAAAAATAGGATAGAGAAAAATTTAATTTAATTTAATGAGAAATAATGGGGGCCAAACGGGGATCTAGTGACATTTATGTAAATTCCCCAAAGAATAATGTACAGTAGCTTGTGTGTCAGATTCCAAGGCAGAACGTAAATTAGAAGAAAGGGAAAGAAAAATATAGAGGTTTCTTTTAGGGTTCACATTCCCTTTGACAATGAGAGTAAATAATAGTTTTCTTTCCTTAAAATTTTGCATAAAAGGGTCTTTTATTCAAATCATAAGGCATTAGTTATGTGTTAAATCACTGTCAAATTTGGTAACTAGATGACAATTTCCTTTATTTTTCCAATTAGTGCACAAATTAGTCAACTTATGCTAAATTAATAAATCAAAAAAAGTAAACATTCTACTTAGACAATAAATTAAACATGTCTATTATTTTCCTTATGTTTTGGTTTATCATTTTAATGGGCACAATGATCATCTTGGACGTCAAGGATGGATCCCACTCAAGAAGAAAATAGAATTAATTATGACAACATTAAAATTTATGAATTAAGAATTAAATTTTTGGGAGTAGTTATGTATATAAATCATGTAAAGGGATATGCGGCGTTGCATTAAGAGTCTATCGAATTACTCTCAAGTACGTAGCATGAAATTGTAATTCAAGGAAGGAATACGAAGAAGGGGAAAGGAAGGCTTAAGGGAAGCAACATGAGGGGAGGTGTTAAGATCGTTAAATCTATGAAATGTGTATATATAATTACTAAAAAATCGACGTAAAAAATATTATTTTTGAATAAATTAATTAGCTAGACTATTTTTATTTTCTCTCCCTATTTTGATTCTTTTTCAATGGGAAAAAAAATCCTCATCGATGGCATAGTAGGCTTGAAAGACATTGATGGAATAGTTTTATTCAAAGATGTAGGCACAAAAAAGAAAAACACAAGTTTACATGGCAATATTATTTGCATACATGGCTGAGCTTATAAGCACCTTAAAAGAATTTTATTTTATTATTTGTGTTAATTTCATCTACATTCACTAAATTTTTAAAAGAAGTTTTACATAGGCCTCTAAACTTATTTGTCTCAACTGGGGCACCTAACTTCAATTTAGTTTAAAATTTCACCCTCTATTACATTCAATCGCCTATCTTTTTTCTAAACTGATAAAAATTACTTAGTTGATAGTCAAATTCTAATTGATATTTCATGTAATTACTATGTGACATACTAGAATCGAAAAGAGTACATTGAGAGTTATGGAAATGTCTTCTTATTAAAAGGTTAGCATAGTGATATGTTGGCATACTACTCATCGATTTCGTGGAAGAAGCATTGTAGCAATTGCCAATCAAGCATTTTTCATCAATTTGAAAAATGACAAAATGAGTGGTAACTAGTGAAATTAAAACTAAAACTAAAACTAACTTACCATGCTGAAACTAAATTGAAGTTCAGTGACTTAATTGAGATGAATAAAGTTTAATGACACAATTGAGATTGTGCTAAAAGTTCAATCATCGCATGTGAACTTTACCCCTTTCTTGGACATTAATATTCATCCAACAAACATCTTTTTGTTGAGCGACGGTTGTATTGATACCATATTTTTTTTTATGTATAAGCCATATTTAATTGCGTTAAAGCCATTTAACGTTTATTCATTTTCACATTTATGTTACTAAATTTTTTCATCACATTCGTATGGATAACCTTTCATTAGTTAGCAAATCTTGTCTTTCATGATGATTTTTATTCAAAAATTTTGTTAGCATGCTAAAAAATGAGAGACAAATATTAAGTCATAATTTTGTGTATTTTTTTTTTTTTTTGTTTATCTTTGATTACACAATTAAAAAGTAGTGCTCTTCTAAGAAAATATGGTGAGAATAAATTTAGCCTTTAATAAATAGATACACATATCTTAGCCTATATATAGTTGAGCTATGGTAGGTACATCAAATAATTAGTAACCATACAAGTAAGACATAAAAATTTGGCTTCACTCTTTGTCAATGTAGGAAATGATATTCCTCCCTTTGGCCCATTATTTGATATTATAATTTTTGGAAATGTTTTTTTGACGAATGTGTGGTTGAAAAAGAAATTTTTTTTTTATTTTAAGTGTAATATTATTTTATGAAAGATCGTGTGTTTGAAAATAAGAGATAAATTATAATGTGAAATAATAGAGGTCAAATGGGCTAATAATTTTGAATAATGCTATTTATAGTTGCTCACTACTGTCGTCACCTTACATAGCATACATAGAGATGGCAATCAAGCAGAGCGGCTCGTCGACTCGATTGCTCGGCTCATAAAAAGGCAACTTGTGGGGTGGCTCGGACTTATATTTGGACGAGCCTGAGCACGACCCAAGTGGATGTGCTCACTAAGCGAGCTAAACCTCGGCTATGGACGAATGGCTCATTGGCAAGGGCCCATGAACCTAAAGTTCATGAGCCAAAAAAATGGGAACAAAAAAGTCAAAATAAATTAAAAAAATTAAAAAAAAATCTTGAGCTCATAGACTCGGTTGGAGCTTGGCTTGTCCTTGAATGAGCTTGAGCTCGACTCAGCTTAATCTATTGCCACCATTAGGTATATATGTAACGGTTAGTGATTTGATACATAAAGCAATAAAAAACTATCACATTAATACATTAAATCACTAATCGCTACAAGTATGTCATGTAGGGCGATTATGACACTGAGTGACTGCAAATAGCATTACTCCATAATTTTCCAATAGCTACATCGTTTACATATATATTCCATAAATTACCCACAATAATAGACTTCATTGTTTTGTTACAACACATCCATCTCAACATCCTTGATTTGATCGGACTATAAATACAGTTAGTGATTTTTAGCATAGACAATACATAGCCAACAAAATACTCTTAATACTTTATAGGACATGTTTGGTGCATGATATTTGACCATCAACGAGTCCACACAAAAAAAATCATAATATTTTTTCCCTTCCCACATTGTCCAATTCATCTGACTAAACTCTTCTAGCCATGGATATAGTGAAGCATCCATGGGGGAATTACTGTATTAGATGATTGGTGTTGGCGTGAAGCTTCAACTTCTCCATTGTCTTCCATAGTTTGGCATATTTCACTGCACGAAGTAGTATATTTTTAGTATTATTACTACTAAAGTGTAACAATGTGCATGTGCGCACACATATAAATACATGCACAATAATTGGACTACCGTCTCAAAACTTATTGTCGAGTAATAAGTTGTACACCAACCACCTTTGAATTCTACATTATATCATTACACAATCCTCACATATCCAGTTATATGAAGACAGACTTTGCTTTCCAACTTGGATCATTGCCTAAATGTCTAATGGGATACGTTTTCATGAAGATTGCAACGATAACTCGAAAAAATTTGAACAATTTAAGATTGATTGTGCAACTAAATTATAAGTTCAACCAGGAGTGGATATAAGGCGACTAGAGCGGGAGCCAAAATCCATTTTTATATATTGTTCTCTCTCTCTCTCTCTTTTAATGATTTTTGTCCTTATCAGTATTTGATTGTATAGTAGTGGTAAATGGTTAATTACTATGTTTAAGTTTTCATTAGGAAAAATTGCAGCTAAACTATCAAATTTTTCGTTTATTAGCAGACTTGATCAAATCATTTCATTTGTACCCAAACCTTTTAAAAAATTCGCAAGGAAAGTCCAAGTTGATGAAAACCGTCAGCGAAATTGTCAATTGATCCTAGAAATGAAAAAATTATAATTTTGATCAAATGAAGTAAGGGCATTTCAATCAAAATTTCCCTTTTAAAAATAAAAAAACCAAAACACCAAAAGCAAAAGAAAATTATTTTCTTCTTCCAAACGCCCCACTTCTACCCCAACCCATCCTACCCCAAAACCATATTTAGAGAGTTACCCGCCACCACCACCGCCACTGCCCTGGTTACCGCCACTCAACAATTCATCTTCTTCGCCAATGAAGAAATCAACACGAGAAATTGTTGCAAATAAGCTCTTCCTCACCCAGAAATTTCTGCATACGCCAAAAATCTGTAACCCACTTGACCCATAAACTAGGAGATTCAGAAGTTGTTCATCTTCGGAGAAATGGTAAACCCTCAATGCAGACGGATTTCGTGCCTCACATTTTCGAGAACCCCCATTGTTATAACAATAATAGACTTCATTGTTTTGTTACAACACATCCATCTCAACATCCTTGATTTGATCGGACTATAAATACAGTTAGTGATTTTTAGCATAGACAATACATAGCCAACAAAATACTCTTAATACTTTATAGGACATGTTTGGTGCATGATATTTGACCATCAACGAGTCCACACAAAAAAAATCATAATATTTTTTCCCTTCCCACATTGTCCAATTCATCTGACTAAACTCTTCTAGCCATGGATATAGTGAAGCATCCATGGGGGAATTACTGTATTAGATGATTGGTGTTGGCGTGAAGCTTCAACTTCTCCATTGTCTTCCATAGTTTGGCATATTTCACTGCACGAAGTAGTATATTTTTAGTATTATTACTACTAAAGTGTAACAATGTGCATGTGCGCACACATATAAATACATGCACAATAATTGGACTACCGTCTCAAAACTTATTGTCGAGTAATAAGTTGTACACCAACCACCTTTGAATTCTACATTATATCATTACACAATCCTCACATATCCAGTTATATGAAGACAGACTTTGCTTTCCAACTTGGATCATTGCCTAAATGTCTAATGGGATACGTTTTCATGAAGATTGCAACGATAACTCGAAAAAATTTGAACAATTTAAGATTGATTGTGCAACTAAATTATAAGTTCAACCAGGAGTGGATATAAGGCGACTAGAGCGGGAGCCAAAATCCATTTTTATATATTGTTCTCTCTCTCTCTCTCTTTTAATGATTTTTGTCCTTATCAGTATTTGATTGTATAGTAGTGGTAAATGGTTAATTACTATGTTTAAGTTTTCATTAGGAAAAATTGCAGCTAAACTATCAAATTTTTCGTTTATTAGCAGACTTGATCAAATCATTTCATTTGTACCCAAACCTTTTAAAAAATTCGCAAGGAAAGTCCAAGTTGATGAAAACCGTCAGCGAAATTGTCAATTGATCCTAGAAATGAAAAAATTATAATTTTGATCAAATGAAGTAAGGGCATTTCAATCAAAATTTCCCTTTTAAAAATAAAAAAACCAAAACACCAAAAGCAAAAGAAAATTATTTTCTTCTTCCAAACGCCCCACTTCTACCCCAACCCATCCTACCCCAAAACCATATTTAGAGAGTTACCCGCCACCACCACCGCCACTGCCCTGGTTACCGCCACTCAACAATTCATCTTCTTCGCCAATGAAGAAATCAACACGAGAAATTGTTGCAAATAAGCTCTTCCTCACCCAGAAATTTCTGCATACGCCAAAAATCTGTAACCCACTTGACCCATAAACTAGGAGATTCAGAAGTTGTTCATCTTCGGAGAAATGGTAAACCCTCAATGCAGACGGATTTCGTGCCTCACATTTTCGAGAACCCCCATTGTTATAATTTTTCTGAAATTTTCACTAATTTCTATCTCTTCACCACAATTTTCATTCCATTTTCCATTATTGCAATATATTCATTTCTAAATGTTCCTTTCCCCGACAACGCGGCTGAAGATTTCAACATTTTCTGAAACTCAAAACCATGATTAAAACCCTCTAAAAGCACCATCCAGGAAGCCAATTTAGCAATAAAAACCTCTCTACTATGGGATTTTTGGATGGGGGTAGGAGGGGATGTTGGAAAGAAGAAAATAATTTTCATTTGAACATTTTTTTTTTAAAGGGGAAATGTGTTTTGACTGAAATGCTCTTACTTTATTTGGTCAAAATTATAAAAAATTTATTTCTATGATCAATTGACTGTCTCACTGACGATTTCCATTAGTTTGGACTTCATCTGTAAGTATTTTTAAATGTCTGGTATCTCCGATAGCACAAATGAAAGGTTTTGGTGAAATCTGCTAATAAACAAAAGGTTTGGTACCTTAATTACAATTTTCCCTTTTAATTGTTGGATTGAAAGATTACAAAGGAAATCAATATATTTGTAGAATTATGCAATCAAGTTAAAATATTACTAAAAAGTGATAAATTATTGTGAATAGTATTGACATAGATATGTACATGTAAAAGGTGAACATGACCATTGGTAGGGTGGATTGTAAAGAAAAATGTAGAATTCTTGTTTTTCTTTGAAGGGGTGTGATTGATTAAGAAAATGATTGTCTTTTTAAATTTTTGAAATTAATAACAACAACAGCAATAAATGAAAATCAGGAACTTGTAAAATTTAACCTTTTTTTACTGAATTTTATGATGTTACTTCTGGATTGATTTTTATATTTATAGTATTACTACTTGTTTAATCAATTGCATTTTCTACATTTGTCATTTTAAGACATTCATTTATGTTACTTTTTACTAATATTTAGATTTATGCTCAACACCTGAAATTTGTCAATTGATCGAATTGCAATTCAATTTCTAGCCACCACACAGTTAGTTATAAGTACTATATATGTTTGCCAAAACCTTACTATATTTACAATATGGTGAACACTTTAATTTATATTTTGTCACGTGTCATTATCTTATTGGATAGTTTAAATCTCAAACAGTTTTTCCATTCAATTGACACTTGGCAATAATATAAGTGTCAAAAATCAATGTACAATTAACAAAGTTCATGTTTGCCATCATATCACTAATTTTTTACTCATTTGCTAATTAATATTGATAATAGTTTATATATAAAATGTAATTATTGAATTGTTGTGCCTT